GCTTGAGCTATACCCTCTCCTCCAACAGTATCTGCTATGTTTGTTCTTTATGCCAATGCCCCCCTCCCTCCATCCTCAAGTATTTTTCTGAAAAGTGGCCTCTCTTGTAGGATTGCGGCCTCTTCATTTGATAGTAATAAATCCTTGCCTTTCAGAACATTTACATACATAGCACTTTAAATTTGCAAAACGCTTCTCTCTCCATTACCTCGTTTGAGGTAAACGTGGGGACACAGGGCAATGTTATCACACTCCTAGAGATGAGAGATGGACAGATGGAGGCTCAGAGATTAGGCGACCTGCTAAATTCCATGCAGCAATTAGGGAGGTAGCTTTACCCTGGAAGGCAGATTCCTTTTATCCTCTCCTTCTGCAATTTGGAAGGTTGGAATACTCTCCCTCATTTACAGAGGAAGGAGTTTGTAAACACGCATTCCTTGAAGTGTTCTGATGTTTCCTACGGTCACTAGGGCAGACAAAGCTAAAATCTATTCGGGACTTTTTCTGGACCAGAGCAGACCAGCCCGGGCTGAGAAGTTGGAAGTGCAGGGTCACTGGGACAAGGCACGGGACTTGGAAGGAAGGTGAAGCCCAGGGGCGGGAGACTGCACATGATGGGGCATAGGATGCACATTTCTGGACGTCACCAAACAGGACAAGTTAAATTCTTTCAAGTCATGATGTGGCACTTCCCGCCTGATGTCCTCGGAGTTTGGACAAGGACTGTGGTTCAGGGGAAAGAGATGGACTTCGGGAGTTAGACCCACCTGGTACAATCCCAGCTCTGTAACGTATCGGCTACAGGGTTCTGAGTCTTTGGTTTCCCCCTCTGTAAAATGGGGATGATAATGAGCACCTCTGAGGGAGATAGTGGGAACTAAATGGCAGAGTTGAGGATGCTGGAGGACAGTGGGTTTTGGGGGCTGAGTCTTGGGTCTTCCACCTACTGGGACCCTCTGGACAATCCACGTCATCTCTGCCCTTTAGTGTCCTCATCTGTAAAATAGGATGATGACAGCAACTCCCTCCGAGTCGTCCTGAGGGTTTAATGAGATCTGGCCAGAAGAGAACTGAAGACAAGTGCACAGGAAGCGTTAAGAGAAGGCCGGCTCCAAGCCTGCGTTTGCCTCATGTACGAGCCGTGTGGTCTTGAGCTGCTGATTTCAGCTCGTGTCTCAAGCTCCTCATCTTAAAATGGGGATAATAGTAATGTGTGCCTTGTGGGTTGGAAAAGAGGATTAAATAAGATAATACACGTGAAGTGTTTAGAACGGGACCCGGCAGCCAGTAAGTGCGCTGTAAATGTTAATTATTACTGGCTTTGATGACCTTATTTCCTTTCTGTGTCCTGGGGTCCTGTGGGATTTTCTGCTCTGGACACAAGGCCGAGGGGCCAGCCCGTGGTCTCCGTGGGCCCAGGGCTCTGGCCTCCTTCCCTCGTGTGCCTCCGGCCTCCAGCCCTGCCTCTTCGGAGTGGGCCCAGGGGCCTGGGGGGCCCCATTTTGGAGCTGGCTTTGCGGTCAGGCAGCTATAATCTGTCCCTTGAGCCACACCAGAGTCTCATTAAAACGTGCCCCATAAATGTTAAAAAATTTACACATAAAAAAATTCCATGCATGAAACTGAAACCGTACGTTTTACAGCCTCGGTTTGAAATCTTGCTTAATATATAAAACCTCGGCCCGGCACTGGGGGCCCGTAAATCAGATTTCATAAAACAAAAAGCTTTTACCTTTCAAAGGGGTTTCGGGAACTTGCAAATTTTACACACTGTACCAGCTGCCAGTCAGAGGCTGCTGGGCCCAAACAGGGGATCAGCGGGCCAGGTGACAGGCCTGGCGAGCACTGGGTGGCTATGGGAATTGGAGGGAGGGTATTCCGGCTTAGCCACCATGGGGCTGGAAAGCCATCCCCCTGGCTTTGAAGCGGGGAGGTGGAGAGCGTCAGAGTGTGGGCACCAGAGGGAGAGGTGCTCGTGGTACTATTTATAGATGAGGGCTTTATTGCCCCCAGGAAGAAGAGAGGTGGCTGATGTGGTAGAAGGGGCCAGCCTGGCTGCCGACAAGTCATTTTCCTTCTGCGGACTCCACTGTCCCCATCTATAAAATGGACGCACTGTTCTCTAAGGTTGTGGTTTCCCCCTTAACATTTTGTGGTTCTAAATTTCTCTTCCAGCAGGGGTGCTGTGGGAGCAGCCAGCTGACCAGGAAGGGCGGGTCCCTCAGAAACCTATGATCTGGGAACCTCTCTGATCTTTGAGCAGCTCTGAAAGAACTTGGCCAGCTGCTCCCATGGGAACTTGTCTGGGACTGTGGGAGCAAGGGGAGGGAGACATAGCCATTTGCTTGGAGGGGAGGAGGGGGACCAGCCAGAGCCGGGAGGACTCACGGCCCAGCGGTGGGCCTGCTGGGGCTGGGGAGGAGGCAGGATTAGGGCACTGCTCCAGGGCCCGGGGTGGGACAAAGTTTTGGGGGACCCCAGTGTCCTCCTGACAATCTTGCCTATGAAAGTCAACATTCAAGGGCAAAGGAAAGCCGCCTGACACACATATATATAAAAAATAAATCTCTCAATTATCTCAGCTCATTTGCTTGGGGTCTCTCACTTTATGTCCCTGCTCCACTGCGCAGTATATCTGTCCGGATAAAGAGTTACAGTCCGCTGGGCTACGTGTGCGGGGTTGTAAAAAATACAGATGCCAAATTAACTGGCTGTGGCACTCGGCAGCTGATTGAGCTGATAATGACGCGATCTGACCTTTTTCTAAGTTCTAATTATGTGCATCTCGGCTGTGCTGGCTGCATGATTCTTGTTCTAATGATGGCTCCTGTGGTTGGCCTCTCAGCTCCCGCCTCCGACACAGGACCACAAGAGGGGCCGAGGGCACTGTGTAATGCCCAACCCCCTCCCCTTCCCTCAGGTAGAGTTTCAGGCTCCTGGCCACCGCACAGTCTCTTTGATGGCCTGGAGGTGAGCTGAGGCAACTGGAATGCCTTGCTTTAGTGATGCCGCATTTGACCTCAACCTTCTGGATGCCACTCATTTTTAAAGGTCATTGACTTCCACAAGCCATCTCGTTAACTTTTTATGACAGTCACAGGAGATCGGCATTTTGGCTCTACAGACGAGGAAACCGAGCTTCAAAGGAGTTGTCGTCAAAGTCACCTAGAGGGTAGGCTGTGTAGCCGGCTCAGGTCCCCAGCTCCCTCAAGGGCCTCCATTTAAATAATCAATCCATCAGTCGTTGACTGTGGCTAACTCTTCCGGGTAAACCTGAGACAGAGGACTGGGGAACACCGGGGGGCTGGGGCCATGGAGCAGCTCCCACAACATCCACGTCCCTCGGCCAGCGTGGCATGGAGCAGACACTAACCAAGTTTTTTTGGATTAAATGAAGAAATCTGAGTCTTTGAGTGCAGAACCCTGAGGGACCAGCTAGTGTAGACCAGGGGAGAGCAAGCAGGAGGCCGCTTCTGGGTATTTTCCAGGCTGTACTAGAATAGGAGGCCGTTGGCCAGTGGGCCCTGGCCCCCCTGGCTTCATTCCAGCTCCTGCAGAAATGGCTGCCTCCCCTCCTGGCTCCCTGGCTGCGTGGGTGTAACTTCTAAAGACCTGACCCACAACTGCAGTTCAGAGATTCTGATCAGCTGAGCAGCAGGGCAGAACCAGACCAGCCTTCATTTACCATCAACCAACTGGAGAGCCCGCTCTGGGATGGCTCTCCCAGGGCACCTGAGAGACAGGGGTCTGGGCTCCAAGGCAGGGGAGAGGGAGGACTGGGGCGAGCAGAGGTGGATCTGGGCCTCCCAGAAACCTGCATTAACACTCCTGCTCGGCCAAGTGCTTATCCTCCGGCCTCTAAATGCATCCTAACCCTTCACAAATTTCCAGGCCGGGGTGGGCTCTCCTGGTAGCTCTTTAGACTCCATAAAGTATCATATTCAGCTCTTGAGAGAAGCAGTGGGGTGGATAATTCACAACACAGAATAATACCGAAGTCATTTAAATCTGTTCTGCAGGTGCACTGCGTGTGTGTTTTTCTTCCTTCCTTTCCAGAGTCACATTTGTTTTTCTAATTTTGTTTCCCTTTTGGGAGTAGGTACTGGACGCAAGAGGTCAGCGCTATAATCAATCAATTTTTGGAGGAGAGTTTTTCAGAGTTTCCAAAATATACCGTGCAGAATCTGGGTAATCCACCCACAGAAAAATCAAGAATTTGGGTTCATAATCCCAGGATGACCGTTTGTCATGAAGAACAGAGCAGGCTCTCTGCAGCTGTCTTTCCCTTGGCAGAATCCCCACGGCTGGATGAGAACTTCAGGTATTGTCTAATCTAGTTGTTACCGAGCCTTATTGAAGATTGCAATTGCCTAGGAAGCCTTTAAAAACATACATTCACAGGCCCCACCAAACTTACTGAATCAGTTTCCAGGCGGTGGGACCCAGGAATATGTCCCTTTTTAAAGTTTAGTGGTGATCTGCATAACAAGCTAAATTTGGGAGCCTGATCTACTGTGTCCCCCGAAATGGGCAGGACATCTGCCGGTCTTCTCAACATGGCTGTGTCTAGGGTTTTCCTCTCCACTGATGTGCCTGAGAAGCCCGTCACCCTCATCCCCTACACTGTAAAACACAGGCCACCAGCGCCTCTCTGGGCAGCCCAAGACAGATTTACTAACGTGCCAGGACCCCAGCCCTGAGAACAGCTACCCCAGACATTCTGGGCGATATGACGCCCCTTTCCTCCTGTCTGTGCTGCAGGAGGGTGGTAGATGCTGGTGCTCAGAGGCAGGGAAGGGGAGAGCTTTGGCAGCGACACCTGTGCATGCAACTTTAAGGGACTTAGACATGGTTCTCAGCGGCTGGAAGGGTACACCTGCCCACAGTGGGCATGCAAATGTCTTTGTTGAATGAATGATGAAAGGATTGTTTCTAGGGCATCTGGAGGGGATCGGAGGGTAGGAAGACCCTTGCCAGGGCAGGGGTCGGAGGGTCTTTACCAGATTGTCCAGTTCCGGGTCATCGCTGAAGAAGGGTTTGTGCTCCTGCTCCTGCTGGTGGACAAAGTTCTCGATGTCCACGTCGAAGCTGGCGGAGGTGATGCACTCAGAGCCCTGGGTGGCCTGTTCACATTTCTCAAACAGCAGCGTCAGGAGCGGGAAAAGAGGGTGCCTGCGGGGACATCGAGAGCTCATACATGTGCACTCAGAGACCTGCTGCTCTTGGAGCTCAGAAGCCACCAGGGTCCCTTCCCACACTCCTGCCACTTCTTCTCCCAGGGTCCCACTCCCTGAGAAAGTCCCAGTCGCCGTGGTCAGCCTAGATGGCAGCATTTCATGCCCTGGGATGGAAGAGCCAGTCTCCTGATTCCTGGGGCCTCAGAGGCTTCTGTTCCTCCCCACAGGGGGCCTAACTTTTCTCTTTGTCCAGATAAACTGCATAGAGAGTTGATGAGGGAAACTGGGTATAATCCTTCAAAGAAGTAGGTGTCCATTTCTGGCTCGATGTCAATCCGGGAAAGAAACGTGGGAAGTGTCCAGAAATGTCCTAGACGGGAACATTCATGGTTGGTCACAGACCCACTGCTGGCTGTGTGGAGCCAGCCAAGGGCAGCACCTGTGTGTGTCTGTGAGTGTGGGGGGTGGTCGGCAGGGCTGTGAGCCTGAGTATTCGTCACACATGGGGGGCAGATGTCTCCGCCTGTCCTACATCTTTTGGCCAATAGAGTTTAGGTCAGACACCCCAGTTACACGTGTAACACCACACTGCACCTTTCTGTCATCACACATTTAGCAAAACTGTAATTAAATAATTATTTGCATCCTTATTTGCCCACTGTTCTCCTCCAAGACTATTCCTGTCTTAATGATCAGTGTATCCTTAAGACTTTACCCTGCATGCTCATAGCAGGCACTTAATAAATATTCGGTGACCAATAATGAATCACTGAGTGAAGAATACGGGAGTGTGAGCGGGTATGTGGGTGTGAGGGAGGTTCTGTGATGGATGGATGTAGGCTGAGTGCTTACCTGGCTGCTCCGAGGGTCCTGGCTTAGCCATCAGCAACTCTGGGAAGCTCCCCTGACTGTCCCTTCCCCCAGGCTAAGCTGCCGGCTCCCTGGGTCATTTATTTCATCATCTGACTTCCCCACTAGACTGTGAGCTTCATGAGGGCAGGAAGCAGGCCCTCCTTATTCATCAGGTCTGTCCAGAGGCTAGCAGCGGCATGAGGGTCCTAATAAATACTTGCGGAATATACCATATATACATATGCCACGCGTGTGCCCCTGTCTGCACGGGGAAGTGCGTCTCATTCTCATTTCTCTGCAGCACGAGTGAACAGCCACGTCTTCACATCCGGCACATGTCCCTATGTTTGCAGGGTGTTGACACTGGACTCAGGAGCCCCACTCCCTCCCACTGTGGTCCCCAAAAGCACGTGCACATCCTCCTCTGATTGCTTTCCTCGGTCCCCTGGGACCACCCAGTCTAGCTCCTTTCCTTTTGATTGAGCGCTGCTTGCTGGGAGAGGAGAAAGGATGTGCTGGCCCCCAGGCATCTGCCAACGGGGACGCGCTAGCCAGCACTGCCCAGCAGAACTTTCCACGATGATGTAAATGTTTAAAATATGATTGTTATGTCCAGGACACTGTATTTTTAATTTTATCTAATTTTAACTTAAATAACAACGTGTGGCTAGTGGCTGCCATATTGAAAAGCGCCGTGAGTCCTGACGAGGGAGACAGATCACGCTTCTCCCCTCCAGCACCCTTGGTTTGTTAAACATGCCGAGAGGGACTGAACACCCAGCCTACATAGTATTTGTAGGCAGACAGGCAACCCCTATGAGCCTGTCGCATTCTGGGATTTGAATAATTCCAGGCAAAAGCGCAGAAGGTGCTTAATCCCACCCACACTCAAACCCATACCTACTGGTCATTCTACTCGGGCTCAGGGGCAGTGGGGCTGCGGGGAGATGCATTTCTGCTTCAGGTGAGCTGCTTCGCCTGGCAGAGCTGCCCCGGGGCACCATCTCCCCAAACCCTGATTTTGGGAGCTGATGCATGAACAGCAGGCTCCGCGGCCGCCGGCTGGGTTACAGTCTGGAGGGATAAAAGGGTCAACAGCTGAGGGTAGCCCATCTGAAGCCCCAAATTGCTAGAAGGTCTATTCAGCCCCCTTAGGAAGCCGGTGGGAAAACAATGGGTTCGCTCAGCCATCAGCCGAAGACAAAGAGAAAACCAGGTGAAGGGGTTAAACTCCAGTCTAAGTCTTCATTTGCAGCCACTAATACCGCAGCATATTATAGTCTAATCTAACCTGATCCCAGTTTAATGCAAGATTCTCCTGGCCCTGAGCGGAATACCAAAGAAAGCCTCCGTGGCTGTGATTTAAGCAGAGCCCTGCAGTGGTTTAGCTGAGGGACATGAAAGGCAAATTCCAGACGGTGTTATGAATTATTGCGCCTTATGAACCTTCCTACTCTCAACAGATGCCTGCTGCCATTTAAACAGCCACTAGATCAATTAGGAATGAAAGGCACAAATCGACTCCGCACAAGGGCACTAAATTACCAGGAACTAATAATCCGCAGCACCGTGCCAGGTGGTGGGGGTGCAGCCCCCAGCCCCACAGTGGCTGCCGGTCACCGCACGTTCCTTTCTCACGGGTTAGAGGGAGGGTGGGAGGCTGCTGAATGGGGAAGGGATGGTCTGCGTGTGTGCACGCGTGTGTGCGCATGTGCACACGTGTACACCTGGGTTGAATGTAGGCTGTCCACGAGAGCAACCATGAGTGCTGTGTAAGTGGGCTCTCCTGGGTGATTTTACTGTGTATGCACACACGGTGTTGTGACTCTGCAATACTGTGCATATGGGTTGTGTGTATGGAACTGGGGTGCAGATTGTGTGCTGTGAATACAAGGTGCATATGCTTGATATTGTGTGTGTTATCTATATGCAATTTGTGTGCGAGGATTGTGTGCTCTGTGTACACAGCGTGAGTGGCATGTGGGGCGGGGAGGAGGGATCTGCCCATGACTGCGACTCCCAGCTACTAGCGCTGGAGCTGGGGTGGCGAGAGGAGGGTGGTGTCCTCTACCACTGTCCTTGCCCCCGCAGCGAGGAGAGTGGTCAGGGAGGGCCTCTCTGAGGAGGTGACATTTGAGTTAAGCCTTGAACGATGAGCAGGCAGTCATGCAAAGATCTGAGGGAAGGGCATTCCAAGCAGGAGAAAAAGTGAAGCACTTGAGATAGAAATGAACAAAATCCAGATGTGTGTGGCTGCAGTAAGGCAGGTGAGGGGGGGAAGGAGGGAAATGGAGATGAAGAGGTGAGCTGCAGTCAGATCATCTGTCTTTCACAGGGCGGGGTTTCAGGGACTGGGGTGGGGTAGAGGCACTGTCACCTCCACTACGGGACAGCATGCACCTTCTATGCTTTACCATCAGTCCATTTTATAAAACTTTCTTGTGGGTGTCAGACCTCCCCTGTGTGTTTGTGTGTGTGTGTGTGTGTGTGTGTGTGTGTGTGAGAGACGAGGGCATATCTGGGGGTGTTTCTATGGCTCCAGCAATCTCTCATTAGAAGGAAACGTGTTTTCTACCCTTCTCCCTGAAGTTAACCAAGGACCCATAGTGCACAAAGCTGGCTTCGTGGGTGCTGCCATGAACCTCTCTCCAGCCCCTCCCTGCCTGAGCTGCACTGTCAGCCCCCAAATCCTCCATCCTCATACCCCACCCTCTCTAGGTTCCTGCCTCTCGTTCCACCCACCCTGATCCCCGGTCCCTGAGCCCGGGAGCTCAGATGACATCTGCGCCTATCCATAGCTTTTCATATGAACCACAGCCAGGGGCAGCGGGGCTGCCTGTGGCTCCCATGCTCTATGCACCTGGGTCTCTTGATAAATCCAGACTGCTATCTGCTGCCGCAAGTTCGGGGAGATGCTCTGTACCACCCCCTGAGAAAGAGGCTCAGTTTCCCAGTGACTAAACTGGGTTCCGTGACTGCAGTCATGCTGTGGGTTTCTCTAAGGCTGTTCCCAGCCCAGTTCCTAGCCTCTTCCCCAGTTGCCCATCCGACACCTGCCTAGGTGTTGACCTGTATTTCTAAGCTACCCTCCAACATCTCCCCACAAGGCTGGGGAAGAGGCTGGAAGCGACCCTCAAGGGGTCCTTTCTAGCAGCGCCCACTGCAGGCCCGTGGTGGGGTGGGGTGAACAGGGCAGGGACCATGAGAACTGGGCATCTTAGACATGAATGGCCTTGTCTGAGCCAGGCGTGGGATGGGAGGAAGGATTTCCAGTTGTGTGTGGGATATTGGCCCTGTTATTCGTGACCTTCCCTGAGCTTTAGTCTGTCCAACTAGAAAATGGGCTTTAAGGAGTTCCTCTTCCTGCTGTTCAGACCTCTCCCCCTGTGGATTAGCAGTCTTCAGAGGCTGGTGCAGGAACGGGGAAACTCGGTCCCCCGTGCCCAGATGATGCTGGTCCAGAGCGGAAAAGTGGCCATCAGACTTAACTTCCAAAGAGCCGAGGACATGTGACCTCCAGGAGCGCTCACCTTCTCCCTCTCTGATCTGTCCCCCACCCCGCCACGAGGCCTCCCACCTGGCCGCCCCCTCCACCCCAATCTCTCTTAAGCCGTTCAAAATTTGGAGGATATAAATCTCCCCGCACTAATTCAGGGAGAGTTTGAGCCTCGTCAGTGCAGAACAAATAAAAGGAGTGAACTGGCATGACATTTTACTGCAGAAGAGAGGTCGTTTCCAGCCACTAATAAAAAGGATTTGACACAGACTAATAAAGAGAAATGAATTTCTCTAATGGCCTAATTTAGCACACGCAGCACTGTGCCTTTGCCTGGGTGCCGGGAGGGCGGGCCGCCCTGAGTGCGGACGGAGCCAGGAGCGGAGGAGAAGAGATGATCTCAAATAACAGTTTATGATTTCTTTTTTCTTTTCTGAGTCCCCACCCCCACCCCAGCCCTCACTCCCTCTTCCCAGGAGCATCTGAACCAAAATCAAGCTCAAGATATGCAGTTCTTCTTAACGATTCAAAGAAATGAAGGACCCCTCTCCACAGACTTGCAGTCTTGTGCTGGCTTAAGAAGGTGATTAAACCGGATGTGTTGATTTCTACAGGGGTTTAAGCCATCGTTTGGTTTAATTACTTCT